GAAGTAAAGCAAGTGTGTAAGTTCGTCTCTGAATGTTTATAAACCTTTCCCGCCTTAAGCTTAACAACCGATATATGGAGCGACTGCCTCTTCTCTCTCCCTCCCTCTCCTGCTGCTACTTCAGTCATGAAACTGATCAATGATCAGCTGATCGGCTTTTCTGTCAGGAGTCCGTCTCTCTTGTTTGTTTTTGGCCCACTTCACACCAGAAAGAGGAAACCAGCAACTGAACAACAGCAGCACGTTTAAGCTTGATAAGCTGTTGTTAGGATTTATTTAATATTAGTTTGTACACCAGGATCCTTTTCTATGTAGCTGACGGCTGGTAACTGTGCAGGGGCGGATCTAGCAAAGTTTAGCCAGGGGGGCCGATAGGGCATGAACAGGGAAAAGGGGGCACAAAGACATACTTTTCTTTCTTATTCTCATTTAAAATGTCAAGCTTTTATTAAATAATTATCTGACACCCAAAGTTTTAATTTGATGTAAAATGAATAGAAGTCCATTACTGTATATAGTAACTATTAAGTCTAATATATACCCCAGTAAGCTTTTCCTTTGGGAAGGTACTATCTGTGCAGTCTGCAATTCTGTTAAAGAAAGATGTTGAATCTATTTAATATTTCTTGAAAAATGATTGATTTCTGTGCATTTTCTTTTCACACTGCATCAAATTAAGATTGATTACGTCGATTAAGCATCATGAGGTGCAGCGTGAGGGGTAGTTCCCTATTTTGTTTTTGCTTTTTTGTTGCTGGGAGTTGGAACCCTATCCGGTCGTTAAGTCTGACGTGCCGTGTCTGGGCCTAAACTCCGCTGCAGGTCCATATATCAAACGATCACTATGGCATTACTGAGAGTTGAAAAACTGTCTAAAGTCTTTCATCTTTAATAAAATGATCAGCGTTCTGCTCTACCAGGTGTAACAATTGAGTTTAACATCCAGGCATCCATGAAAACGGAATTTATGACATTTAACGGAGTTAGAAGTTAGCAGGAAGTTAGCTCGCTAGCTTCTATCTAAATACAATATAGCATGTCCTGACTGCGGGGTTTTGGAAACAAATTAAAACGTACAGCTCTGCTATCACTTCCAACATAAATGAAGACGGAAAACTAAACAGCAGTGACGTTTGTAAGGTTACTGAAGTTTGGCTAGCTGGTATATAATGATGTGCTACGTGACCGCTAGTGACACAGCTATGTTAGCATAGCAAGCTAACTTTTTTCCCACTCGATAAAAGTTAACGTGAGTGTTCTGGGTGGTCAGGAACAAATGTAATCGCATGGCAGGATGCTGTAAAAGGACCAAACTTCAGCCAGGAGAACAACTGAGATAATCCATCCACAATACGAGGTTAGTCATTCATATACTGCTGCATGGGCTGGGCTGTAGTTACATCCTAGGGTTTTAAAAACTGAGCTTAAATAAATAATTAGCGGTAATAAAAGCCGAGTGAGGTCAACAGGGATCACTGACTGTTTTAGGAGCTTTTTGAGATCAAATAGAAGAAAATACAAAACATTAAACATGTTAACAACACAAAAGCCATATTAAACACAGACTACTTTAGGTCCGGAAGTAGGATTCGTCATGTCATCACTTAACGACCGGATTAGTTAGGTTGCTTAATATTTACGCTAAGTACTCTTTAAAATACCAGAATAGGGAGGATGGAGCAGGTTTAAGTTTATTAGATTGATCAGTATTGCTGAACTATGAAATTTTTTTTTTGCATACAGGTATAACAGAATACCTTTAGTCTTGTTGTTTTTTAAACTTGAGTATGACTTTGATCATCTGAAAGGCAGGACTGCTGTGTCAAACATTACTTCCTGGAAAAAAAAAAAGAAAGAAAGAAGAAAAACAAACAAATAAATAAATAAATAAAGTTGAGTATGAACTTATACAAAATGCAGCAAGATAAAAAAAACAGTTTTATTGATTAAAAAACACTATATCGGATTCATATCGGTATCGGCAGATATCCAAATTTATGATATTGGTATCGGACATAAAAAAGTGGTATCGTGCCATCTCTACTACAAACACAACTTACGGATATCTACACAGCTCTGAAGTTTGCCCTGCTGAAGTGTAGATTTTATTACAGCAAAGTAGAACCAAGTTCAGTCTCTTGAAGATTTGCAGGAGTGTTAAGTAACACTTATTATTACACATATTATTCTGTATGTCAGCTGCGATACACACTACCTAATTATTTTTGTACAACTTGAATGTACCTACCAAAAACAACAACAGCAACATTTGACTTCAGTACCAAACACAACAATTTGACAATTGTTGCAAACATTTGCACATATACTTTTTCCACAGTGAAAACAAAAACAAGGCTACAGCACATTTTACCTGCAATGCCTGGAAAGAATCTGCTGACAGATTTTGATGACATACGATGCTGCTTTCTGAAAGCTGTTGGGCTCATCAGCTATAATTCATAGTGAAGTTACAACTACATGTATAGCAAGAAGTATAGCAATACACAATTTGAGATGTTGTTTTTTTATTTTTAATAAAACATGATGTTTTAAAATAAGTCACTTAAAAAATCATTTTGTTTCATTTAACCCTTTACCTCTAATGAATAATCTAATCCTTTCTGTGCTCTCGATTACCTTTTCTTTCCTACTTAATCTTCTTTTTATAAACTATATCTGTGATATTTTTGTCTCTTTTCCCTGCTCCCTGCCTACTCTGGTTGCCCCACTGGCTCATAAACCTTGCATGCCTCATTACAGGTTTGGGCTTTCTACTCTGGTGGCCAGTGTTTGGGTCCTCTCATCACTGTAACATCACACTATACATGGTTTCTGCAAATGAGGTTAAACATGCTTTGGTGGCAGGAGTAGCTTAGGTGGTTGAGTAGGCTGGCCTTTAAATGTTGGGTTGGTTCAATGCCCGATTCCTCCTGTCTGCATGTTGTGCCTGTGAACATGAATCCAGGAAATGCTCCTGGCATGTTTTGGAAAAATGTGGAAGCCCATTAGGACAAAACATGCCTGCCAAATAAATGTAATGAAAGGCTGGCCACAATCATAACACGATGGCGATCCCACAGACCTCCTTCCCACTCGCTCAGCATAAACATATTTCTCATAAGCTATAAACACTGTTAAGATATTGGTTTAAAAACTGTTGTTCGTAAGTGACTGTCTTTAGGTGCTGCAGCTTAATTTGCAATGGAAGAGTGGGTGCTAGCTTTCTCAAATCTAATTTACTGGCTGTCAGAGCGAATGCGGTAACTTGATTCGGGAGTTTTTCAAAGCAGATATCTAAAGCTCAGTGAGATTGCACTCACACCACGCTACAGTGGAAAATCAACAGTGAACCAGAGGAGTTTTTTCAGAGGTACACCAAACAAAAAGAACGCAGAATCACACGACTGCGCAGAAGTCAATAAACAGGTACGCACGGCAGTTCCACTCTCCCCAGTGAAACTATCATGCATCTCTCAGAGCGCAGATATTATTCGAACATACTGAACTGAGTCATTATGGCCCATCACAATGTATCCATCATGGCGGACCTCTTCCATCTCTCTCAACATGATGGCTCTGCCTCTTTTCCCGTCTCCCACTGAGGTCTGTGGAAAATAAACAGGCTCACAAACACACACACAAAATCCCCCCCTTTCGCTTTTCCTACATTGTTTTGCTCCATTCTCTCCCTTGTGCTTCTTGACTCTACTGTCATTTCCCCCATCTCTTCTTCCTGTTTTTGTGAGGTGAACATTTCAAATCACCCTTGAGATGCACACTGTCTGCGACCTTCACAGTTTCTCTTACTCCGTCTGTCACCCCCCCCCCCCTTTTTTTTTTCTTGTGTGCTTTTCCTTTGTACTCCGATATCTTTATGTGGGGCATCCCCCCACACCACCCCCACAAACTCCCCATCCCCGCTTATTGTCCAGCTCTTCTCTCTATTCTGTCATCTCTTTCAGCCTCTCTGGCTTGCACACTGTCTGTCTTGCTCCATCTATTTGTCAGAGATTCAGCGTGTCTCATTTATAAAAGGTGTTCAGTTTCACACAGCATTCCTCGTTTTAAAAATTGCCTTTTTTTTTGGTTGTTGTTTTTTGCAAGAATTTTCTTTGTTTTGTGAATGCGCGTGAATGGCTCATTGTTTCACCAGTTATATTGTCTAAAGTAACTGAACATTGAAACCTAGGATGAAGAATGCAAATGTGGCCCTGTGTGTGTTTGTAACCTGAAAGGCACACACACACACACACACACACACACACTTCTTCATTTCAATGAGTCACCCTGTTTCTCCTCTCATTTGACTCAAGGAAAGCACTGAACAGCTTCCTGAGCACTGTCGCTGTGCTCATCCAACCGTCCTCGCACTCAGCCTCCTCCCTACACATCAAAAGCGCACGTACACAAACTCAAAACTTTGCACTTTTCATTATTGTTGCATGTCTTACCTACGAGGCACAGAAAAAAGACTCGGAGAGAAGCTAATTTCTGTCTACAACAATTTTCAAAAACAAAGTAAGCACATGCAAATGAGCTTTATTTACTGTGGTGCCTAATTTGAACAGTGCATCCCCAAACTCCTCATTATGATAATGCTCTCTGCAACACATTAGATGGTAAACACATGTATGCCCAAAAATCTCCAAAAAACGTACATAAAGAAACACACTTAATTCTCAGCAGGTCTCTTTTCCTTTAAGACTCAGATCCAAAAAGGGGGGGAAAAAGCTATGCAAGGGAACAGCAAAGGCAGGTAGGGGGGCTGAGAGTGTATTTTGTGTATGTGTGTATGTTTTATGCGTGCCTGCAGAGTTCTTGGAGAAACTAGGGCTGTTCTCAAAGATGTAAGACTTGTTCTGACTGTTAAAATACATAGTCAGAGGTGAGGCGGAAGAAGTAAGAGGAAGCATAAGGGATTGAACTGATAAATGATGAGGAGAGTGAGTGATGAGCAACAGACTGTTGACCAGCTGGGAGGAGGAAGCTTTGTCTCTCACCTGCCAGAAGATGTTGTCAATGGTGTTGCCTAGAAATCCTTCTCTGTTGTCAGATGACAGCAGCTTGGGCCCCAGTATCGTCATGAACTCCTCAAAATCCACCTGGCCGTCCCCTGCAGGTAGACAAACACACACACAGAAAAAGAGGAGCAAGGAGACAGACCAGCACAAAAAAACAATCAGATACTGAGACAGGAAGGATGGCAAAGCAGAGTTAAATAATGCATTTTATGACAAAGTTCATTTCTTTCCAGAAACAAAGGAGACAGATCAACAGATGGGTGTGTGCTTTCATCCATGACGAGCACTCGTGCAGCATCGGCCTTAATTCACCTTTCGGATACAATGCGTGGACCTGCACGAGTGTGTGCCTGTGTGTGTCTGTGGGACTGATTTTTGTGACAATTCAGGGATCATTTGGCAGATTTAAATTCAAAAGAGACAACTTTGCGTGTGCTTGCATTATGTATTCTGCAGCCGTATGTTGTTATAGATAACAGTCAACAGGCAGCGCCCCGTGGAATAAATACACGCACTATGGCAGCACATTGTAAACACCATAAAACACCCAGACTTATTACACTGTATATTGCCAATATTGATTTTATGACCAGTTAAAATTGTTATCTAATGTTCGGATTATTACGTGTTATCGTAAGGAGCATATTAGACGCATTAGTAGTCTGGACAAGGTGCGGTAATGTGTGAGAACACCGTTGTGTGTGCCAATTATTTTTTTTATTCCTTCCTGAAAATTATTTGTAATTTGGAAGATATAATAGAAAAAATGATTCAAACAATACTCACAGAGAGCCTGAAAATGTTCTATAAACACACCAACAATTCAGTATGTTGAATACAAAATTAAGTTTTTGGTATATGAAGACATTCTTCTGAAGAAAATATATCTTCCTATACTTATTACAAAATTATGCATTTTTTGCAGTAAATGTCTTATTATCACTTTTAAATTATTTTTCAAAAATGACTAGGAGATTACAGACCCATAAAATAAACCATTATCTTGTATTATAGGATACTGCGCACATGAAAGAGCATCAGCTTGGTTCCAAAGCCTGACTACAGCTTCTCAAAAGAAATTTGAATTAACATAATATAGAATAATCTTATTTTTTTAAGACTATTTGCCTAAAGCTGAGGGAAAAGGATAATGCCGGATATCAGAGGATCAAGAATGCTTAAGAACTGATTTAATTATACATATAAAATACATCCGAAGAACTGCGCAGGTTTTCTGACACCTTATAAAATTTCTCATTCTTAAAATAATTTTGCCTTTCAGTGCTTTATGAGCGGTGACATGGGGATGATAGCAGTCAGGGGTAAAGGATTTTAAAAGAGATACTGTCTCTCAGCAGAACAAATGGCAGCGCTGCTCTCAAGCTGCTCATGGATGCAAAAAGCTTCTAGCTTTGACCTTTGATATTTACAGTGAGCCGTGAAAACAAGAGCAGGCTGATAAGAACCGGCTGAAAGACTGACTAGCTGGTTTGTGATTCAGGGACTGCTGATGAGAAATTGCGGCCCTCTGAAAATTTACAAGCAAAGCAGGAGTTTAAGGAGGAGGCAGGTTCTCTCTCTGTTGTCTCCAGGTGAATTAATTTTAGATAAGTGACCACCTGCTGCCATTTAGGCACTTCAAAGTTTGAAGGACACTGTAACTAAAACTAAAACCCCTTTTTAGCCTCAAGCAAGTGAAAGAGGAATTAATTTCTGCAAGACTGCATTTCTTAAGTCATTTACACTTCATTCAGAATGCAACACATTTAAAGATAATGATAAGCTTCTCTCTAAAAGGATAACATTACAACATTTTTTATTCCAATATAAACATGTGTTTTGCATATCGTTAGCTTCATAGCATAAGTGCCTAAGTCATTTTTTGGTCAAATTGAGATTTTTGCCTAACTTTACTCCCCTACCACTGCTGCATCATCCTGTCCGTCTGAAACACAAAACACAAAAAAATGACTTAGGCACTTATGCTATGAAGCTAACGATATGTGAAAATGCATGGTTTGCTGCTCCATGCATGCACCCAAGAGTGTGTCCTTATGTAGCATCTTACCATCCATGTCCAGTCTCTGCATGATGATGGCTAACTCCACTTCACTGGGCATGTAACCCAGGGAACGCATGGCCATGCCCAGCTCCTGTTTGGAGATGAAACCATTCCCATCACGATCCAGAACACGGAATGCCTCACGGATCTCTGCGCAGCAAACATACAACACATCGCTGTGCATCACTGTCAGTCTCTCAGCTTCTTTATCTTGTTTGAGGAGATAAGACACATGTTTTAAAAGTTAAACCTACACACTTATCATAGATAAAACTCTCTGTAAATATTTATCTTGTTGAGGTCACTGTGTTGGTTTCTGGTTAGTTGGGAATAAAGTTGCAAACTTCTTAATTTATGTTATAAGCTGGAAACTGAAACAGCCAGTGAAATCTCTTTATTGGCATTTCCCAAACCTCTTTCTTGTGTTTATATTAAATTATGTTTTGTTTTATTCATTTACATTAATTCATTCATATTTAAGTTACTTTGATTGATACGCAAAATGCAATTGCGTTAATAGTAATTGTTTCTGTCTCTGGGAACAAAGCAGCATGGTGTCGATTAAATGTCTAGCAGCTGAACTGCACGGATTGTTCATTAAACAAGATTACCATGAACCATAAAAAAGTGGCAAACATCAATATTTTTCACATCAGCAATCGATCAAATGCCTACTTGTACGTTAAATGGGTCACAACGAGTGACAGTCAGTTCCTCTCAGCTCTATAGAGTTTCTGCTCACATTTTTGAATTTCCAGCCTTAAGCGTGACTGTTTGCATTCAGTCTCACATGCTGCTGCATGATGCAGCTGTTTTCTGCATCGTAGCTTCCCACCTCACAATCTACCACATCTCACAGGTTATTGGCCGTAAAACAACAAATATGACCTTGACCTTGAGCATAATATGGGTGATCATTGTGTTTAAGTGTGATTAAATTCTGGGCAATGCTGCAGAAGGAGCAGTAATTCTTGTGAACTCCAGACAAATGAATGAATGGATAAAGATATAAGGAAGGTTCTGTATGGGCTCACTGGTCATTTGGATGAATGAGCTAAAAGGCTTCCTTGACCTCTTTGTGCACAACCTGCTCAGCTCCAAACAGCAGACAGACAAATTAGCTGCTAACTGATGGACATGAAGCGGCAGGACAGAAGATCATTGAGAGTTTATAGAGACAAAAACAAAGTCCAAACGAAAAAAAAAATGTATATATATATATATGTGTGTGTGTGTGTGTGTGTGTGTGTGTGTGTGTGTGTGTGTGTGTGTAATTTAACCCAACAATTTCTGTGCCAAAATCAATGCTAATCATTTTAATCGCAGGTCAAAGTCATGTGACTTATTTGAAATGTTGTCAGGGAAACTAAAATACATTTTAATGTTTTAAATATGAGGGCAATCCGGTTGTTCAGTGATGACTTCCTGCTAACTTCTCTCTCCGTTAAATGTCATAAATTCCGTCTTCATGGATGCCTGGATGTTAAACTCAATTGTTACACCTGGTAGAGCAGAACGCTGATCATTTTATTAAAGATGAAAGACTTTAGACAGTTTTTCAACTCTCAGTAATGCCATAGTGATCGTTTGATATATGGACCTGCAGCAGAGTTTAGACCCAGACACGGCTAGTGACGTCAGACTGAACAATCGGATTGCAAACAACCCGCTCTCTGGTTCGATTTAACAACAATGTTCATACCGTCTCCAGCCTCATAAAATGAAAAACTAAAAATGCAACAGTGAGTCATCAGATGGTGTCAGGGAGATGGACTAATCCATGGGAAAGAAATTAATCATTAACAGGATTTAGCAGGTTTGTAGCTGGTGCTGAAAGGTGCTTCCCTGGTGTTGATAACAGGCTTCCCCATTAACTGGAAGTGCCACAGACAAATCAAGGTGAGAGTGATCTCCCGCCCTCGCTTCCTTCGTCCCTCTCTCCCTGTTCTTGCTCTTTTACATCTTTGTGTACTCAGTGTATTTTACAAACCCCGAGGGAACTGTCCCAATCCCTCCACGCAGCACAATCACCACAAGAACTGCCAAGAGCATTTCCGACTCTCTCCTCCCACATAAAAGGCTTACTTCTATCTTCAAATTGTAAGTAAACACACGGCTTGCAAGGCATCTATCTTTTCATGCAGCAGAATTACTCAAACCTCCGAGGACCGTCTTACAAAATACATTGGTCAATCTCGGGGCTAATTACCTGTCAATCAGTTAGCGCTGTCTGAGAAGAGGAGGGAGCTCTGATTTGGAGTTAGGGGTCGAACTCAACGACGCTATAAAGACGACAGAGGTGGGACAAGCTTTGCAGGACTTTATCTAATATCTTTTAGCGAGCAAGCATTCAGTGCGTTGCGGATCATTTTTTGCTTCAGGGGTCGGAGCGGGTGCCATTTCACCTAGCGTTCTGCAAATCTTTACAGAAGGAACACAACCAAAAGCACAATTTCCCAAAGACTAATCCCTTTTTCAAACCTTAAACAATGAATTTTACATGAAGTTCATCTCTCTGTGTCTCTCTCAGGCCTCGTGTCATTAATATTCTTATCCTGACATGCAGCTCCTTCCTTCCTTTGTGTATTAAGTCAGCCTCAGATCTGTCTCCTATGCCTGTCTTTTCACTGTCAGTTGCGTGAGAGCTGAAGTTCAGTCACAGCCCCCGCCTAAGCCTGTAAATATCCCCTACGGCTGATAACTAGACTCAAGCACCATGCCACTGCCTCCCCCAACAAAATAAAGTGAGAAACAGAGGCGAGGGATTGGGAATGCGGGTGAATGTGCGGCCTCCCAAAACAAAGTGAAATGTATTTGTATGCAGCTCAACAGTGAAGAGTAGATTTTCAACAGGGTACAAATGAGCTAGTCCCTGATATATTACTGTGAAATGCCTGTGTGTGTTCGTGTGTTAGGCTCCAAACCTGCCTGTGCATGACTCGGTATTATGTGGTCAACCCCCAGGACTATACATGTTCTTGATGTGATTGATGAAATGCCTTAAAACTAGAGAAATGACAGGAGGGATCTACACAGGGGTGATTAACTAGCTTTCTATCTGCAGTAACAGATGATCCTAGAAGAACCTTCAGCATCTCTCTGAAGTGGGATTAGGAGTTTTCAAATGCTGGCAGCATATACCACTGATATTTGGTCCACATCAAACAGTCCCATTGCTTACAACGAAGCTGTAGCTGACAGGCACTAGATAAGACCACATCAGGATGTCTGGAACCTAAGAGTCCAGATTCAATTTATATAAAAGCTCTACACACGGCCAGACTACTTTCACGTTCTTGCTGCCCTTGACTAACAAGACACAGACAGAGGCCAACCAGACTAATGATGATGAGACGTTTTACTGTACCCGCTCTGCTCGCAGTAAAGCAACTGTTTTATTGAACTGGGTTGAGTTTAGTTGTGCACAAGGGACGCTGGATTAAAAGATTTATACTACAAAGTACTTCATACCAAAGCTCATTCGAGCAAGCTACAATGGGCCACATGTATAAGCACAAACAAACAGGCACAGTCAGAGAGTCAGAGACAAACGCTCATGCTCTCATTCCTCGGTCTATGGCAGGATTAGCTGTTTGTTTCATATCAAAGCACAACCACAGGGTAAGAAGTCTTTGTTTTTTACACCTGGTCAATCACATCAAATCAGGACCCAGATGTACTGCATGCACAGCACGATTTTGGATCGCTGCAGAAAAGCTGGCACTCAGTGAAGTGCGCCCATGATGTATAAATTCAGTCAAGGCCAGTTTAAAGGAAAACCCTATTTGTTTTCCCAGGTTAAAGGACAATAAAGATAAATTTTCACTCACCAAAGTAATCGCCGGGAAAGAAAAGCATAATTACGTCAGATTAGTTGCCATTTAATTTACCAGCACTACTGGCAGTTAGCACCTACAGGGTTGATCGTTATCAACCCTGTAGGACACATCTACTGTTTATTTTGGATGTCGAATTTGATTTAGGAAGTCTTTCTTCCTACTGTGGTGAATGTTTATACGGTTACATGCGCATCAACACAAGAGTCGAGGCAAGTCTTGGGCTGAAACAACCCAACATTCACTAGAGAAAAATAAACAGCCTGCACATTGCAGCTCTTCATCAGACCTTTATGAGCCAGACGCTCAAAAAGTTAGTTTTCATGATGCAATAAACAGATAAAACTTGGGCCCCACAGTGGGTTAGATGTTGATTCTTGTGTTTATAACATGGCTGCAGTTTTATCACTTCTCTTTCGTGGTCCTTATAAATCTGACTAACTGTGGGGATTTGTTTACAAAGAGTCTATGAACCAGTTTAAAGGGAACACTTGCTGTACTGAATCCATGTTTTTTTTTTAGTAATGTTGCTAGATTCCTCGTAGTAGATTAAGATCTTAACTGATAAAACTATTGGTCAGAGCTGCAAAAATAAACCTCCTTAAAATAGTCTTTTTCTGGTTATTTACACACACAAACATTACAAAAAGGTGTATTTTTGCTCAAATTATTAATGTGTAGCGTTGCTTTCCAAGAATCTATTTGCCACATCAAAGCCTTTGGTGCGAACACGTAACATCAATTTTCATGGAAGATGAATTTGAATTGAAAACTTAAATTACCATACCAGTATCAACTGGTCATATATACATTCTGTCAGACACTGCTTCCTTCTGAGCCCATTGAATTGATTTTATTTCCTGAGCACTATAATTGGAAACCAATGAATCCAGTCAAGCTCAGACAAAGTGGCTAAATGGAAAAACTTTTCCTCTGGAGACTTGGAGCAGTGTAACTGCATTGTTCTGGCAGCGAACCATTAATTGCTAGTACCTCACACTTCATTCTGCATCCCCACAGACTCCCCCCTTCTCTCGCTCCCTTTGTCAGCACACTCACCTCCCAGCTCCTCAGTGGAGAGGCTGGTTAGCTGGAAGGCTTCGTTCCCCTCTGCCAGGGAGCTGCTCAGGTAGTTGTCTGGATAGAGCAGGCCCGCCCGCACATGGTGGAATGGCATCTTCTCCCTGCAGAGCACACATACACACAATCTAAATAAGCTATGCATGCCACAGGTAAGAATGAGGTGAGAATGTGTGGCAAAGCATGGGTATTCTAAGCAGTCATGAGCCCTTTTTTAGAAACACGAGGTCCTGCTGAGGCAACATTGTTCCTTCCACACTTCTAATGTTCAATCCAGTCTCCTCCTTTCAGAATCGCAGTGACAAATTATGTAATCACATTATAATTCAACGGAGTCACAGAAAATATTCCACTACTATTGTTCTGATAATACCCTCATAGTACAGTCAGGCGATTCATCTCCTATTGTCTTTGTCCTGCTTGGTCTTTGTTCAGTCTCCTTGGTCCACAGAGGAGAAGCGCCACACGCTTGCCAGATATAATTCTTCTAACCCTCCCTGTCAGATCTACTGACTAGCTGTCCCTCCAGACAGTCCCAAACGCCACCCAACACCTCGCTGAGACACCTCGGGGCGAGACAGGGCATCAATCAACCGTGGCCCACGCTGTCGTATGATCAGAGCCATTCTCTGTTTTGATTCATGAGAGTCATGCCTCTGAGGGCTTGTAATATTTTGACACTTTGGCGATATGCTTCATGTTATATTCCTGCCAATAGTACACAGTGAACTGAGCTGAAGGGAGGGAGAAAAAGAAAGAAAGATAGATGGATAGATAGGTAGGTAGGAAGAGATAGAGATCCCAATAGGATTTTGCGAGCCAGCCACTGCCAGACAGGAGAGATAGATTTGGAAGTGGGGGTATCTATGAGATGGGAAACATGGCAGAAATATAAACCATCTCCTCTCCTTCTAGACTGAAATCCTTTTTGGATTTTGGAATTGGAGCAGAGGGAAGAAAATTACCCAAAGTGTGCAAAGACAAAAACAGCCTAAAAGGTAAGAGCAGTGCGATTGCCTGTTCTGATGATCTGTGGAGGGCATCAGGGGTGAAAATTGCATATGTGCATGAGAGAGGCAGACAGCAAACAAAGTGCGTGCAGGGAAGTATTTATGTATCCATAGTTTTGTGCGCTCGGAGGAAATTTGCTCTTTGGTCCATCTGCTCCTGGGTCTACTCGTGCCTCACCTGCACATTAAAGGTACTGCGGTCACCGTGGCAACATATATCTGTTCTGCAGACATCGGTCTCAGCCAACAAGACGCAAACACACACAGACAGACTGAGGCCTCATTATTAAACATTTCCAGGTACTACCTGCAGTGGCTGCATGTCACATGGAGAAATAAAATGAAAGCTTAATGTGAGAATATTTGCGTTAATTCATAATTAAAAAGTTCAAATGTTTCCAAACAGTTTAATAGAATCACAGGGCTTTCTGCTTCAGCTATACTTACTTTGGTGTGACCAGTGGAGGGTGGTTGTTACTAACTACTGTTGCTTTGTAACAGACACTGAGCTGTTTTCACACATAAACTTCAAATGCATTCTCACTACTAGAGTTCCAGTTGGTTTTGGAGAAGGGTGGTGCTTACTTAGAGCATGCACAAAGAAGACCACATGGGCTTGACTGGTCATCTTGCAGACTTTAAACTATAAGGAGCTGCAGGTAAAAGAGGCTTTGATATCAGATCAAAGGTATTCGGACATTTGCTTTGTCACGTGCAGCACTACAGAGAAGTGAGAAACAACACAAAAACACTCCAGGGCTGCAGTGCATGTGTGATAATGGCTCATTAATTCTGTTGCTTTTACCCCACATTTACTGCACTTTGCTGCCACGCTGGCTCCTGTTTTCCAAAAATTACTCGAAGGTGCTTTGTGTGGATTGGCAACATCAGTGAAATACAACCACACTGAGATTCAGCTCATTTAGAAACTGGCTTGCATGGCTGCAGGTTCAAATCCTTCATCTTCATGTTCTCACAGCAGAATTTAATAACTTAAAGCAAGGTTTGGGTCATACTTGTCAAGTCATTTTGTTTCATTGTTGCTAAGCTCAGCAGCAGCAGGTAGGTAGTTGAACAGCTTTATAAACTGTCTTCCCCTCACCTAATCACATTATTACTTAAGACTCCTCTTAATTTTGTCTATGTTAGCCTGCTGCCCATTAACGAAATAGTATTAACAATAAATTAAGACAATTAAAATGACTCTTACTTTGTATTGTGGTAGAAAAAAAATGTAATAAAATAACTTAAAATGAATATTTCCCATTAAGTAACCCAACACTGGGATACACATGACATCTCAGTCTGAACTAAAACTAAAACAATAAACATTGCATCTGGGAAAATGTGCAAAAGATGAGAAGGTGACAATCTCCTAGTCAAATGCAGCATTGATGCCGAATTTTATTGCCACTGACATCATTTTTTTCATTCGACTTATATCTTTCATGCTCAATTTATTTTTTTATTTTTTCTGTCAGATTTTGTTCATTCACAGTGACATAAATCTAACCCCATATGTGAGCACTATGAATGCTGTCCAGCCTAAAAATGTGGCATTATCTGCATATTTGATAAGACACTCCACCCTCCAGTGCTGCAGTTAAAAGCTATACGATAGTTACTTTTGATTTGGGGGATTCAGAACAAGTCATGTGCATAACCTGATCCTTGCTTTTGGCACATTTGTTCTGATGTATGCATGCATGCTGTTTATTTGTCATGGTTTAGCAGTCTGCTGCGGATATCCAGTATTTAGCCTATGGGAACAAAACGACGACGGCAGTAATGAAGATTTAATGTGTGAACATTAGCCACAGAATAAATTCTCAAATTCTTCAACGACTCAAATGAGCAGGAAATGGGAATTATTCAATCAGCGGACAAATAAATAAGACATATGATATGAAATTAATATGAGAATGTATTGCAACAGTCCATCTGTTCACACAATTGTTCCCCTGATAGAAACGCCCACTCACTCGTGGCAAAAACCAGCAGACACGCGTGCACAAAAATCAAACACTTGCACACCGGTCCTTTCTCTCTGTTGTTTTCCATCCTTCCCTGACATTCTCCTTTATATCTTTGGATGGTGGGTTTTTTTCTACTTGTGAAATCACCCACTGTTGTCACAGAGATGGACATTAGCGCTGACATGATTTAGCAGAGGGCCACCATCTGATAAGCTTCATTCACTGTGTGAGAGCAGGATGAGGAATAGTGGAATAGTGGACATAAAGGCAGGTGTGTTCGTGGGGCATGCAGGGGCAAAGGGGATGAAAGGAGCGAATCAAAGTGGGCTGACTGACAGTGTTTGAACTGTGGGGTCACTTGCGCCCCAGGTAGCCCATTTTCAAGTCTGCAATGGTGGTGATCAGAACAGATTTGAGCTCAGAGAGGAGAGGCTGAGATGAAGCGAAACGAGGTACTGTGAGTGAGAGAAAAAAAAAGCGTTGCATAGGGAAAATGGAGAATAATGGTTTTTTTTCTCACCTTCCTCACCTCTTCCCCATGGAGTAAAATGCATTAGCAGAATAGTAGGAAAGAGATGAGGGGATCACACCATTGCTTTTTTTCCAGCAGCGTATGCACAGTGCAACCATCAAAAGCAGGCAATCCTACAACAGATTAACAATATCAGATTTTCTCATCGACATCAAGGAGAACAGGTTTTTACTTCTACTGCAGCCAACAGTTAACCATCGAAACATACAACTACTAACTACAACTAAGCCATTAAACATCATCCAAGGCTTCTCTGATGTGCACGAGAGCTGTAAGCAGGCCCAGGAGATAGATACCAGATAAACGAACCAATGATCCTCTCTGCACTTCAAGCCAGTAAAACATCATTTTTTCTCTTCATGTCTCCTTCACTTTCAGTTAAAGCCTATGCCACCTGCCAACATCAATGAAAGAGCACAGCTGATCATCTGAAGCACCAGTGCTGGAAACAGCTAAAATGCCACTCTGTGATTCATCATCCTTCAGTTACTATAAACCACAAAGGAAAAAGAAATATGGAGAGAAGGTCTTGTGAATTTATGGATCAAAGAAAGACATGTGTAAGATCAACAAGAAGCCCACAATAAAGTTGTGTCTTATTAGATTTACAGATTTTAAACCAACAGAAATGGTTAATTAAATAATTCACTGTGCCTCTGCACAATGTCACATTGTCAGCATCCCACTGAAGTCACCTTGGGCAAACTGTCTAGCTGTCACTGCACAGCTGTGATATCAGTTGTCTTTCTTCTGCCCATCAAGGCTGTATTCTAAAAACATCTCCCCAACGAGGCGCTGTATGGGCTGTGAATCCTGCCGCCCCAAACCCCCTCTGCTGGAGTTCATCTTGGGTCAATTTCAATCCCCATCTGCAGCTGCTGCGCTAATTGAGCAGCTCTGCTGAGTATGTGATCTTATATCAGGTGTTTTGAAAGAGGCTGTTAGCATCCCACCCAACAAGGGGGAAAAAAGCTGGACACTCATGATAGTGTTCCATACTGCGCGCCTCTGCGGCGGAGGGAGCGCAGCTGGACACACACCACCCCAAGCTGCCAAGCTGCTGATCTGTCACACACACTCACCGCATAATGGGGTGTGCGAGGATTTGAAAATAAAGAAAAACATTCATGTGTGCTAATACCCCCCCACCCCTCACCTCAACCTCTTTAAACGAAGACTACACGGGAAAAAAAAACAAAGTCAAACTAAATCTACACTCCCAATTACCTATAATACCCACCATCCGTTACCATCCACAGGCGAGTCTCCTCCAGGGTATCAGATGATGAATGTGTGTAAGGCAGGTGACAGATTTGGCCATCACGCTTTATGACTGTGGAGTTTTAGAGCATCTGGCAATGAGAACGAATACAACTGGGCTTTAGACTGCAGCCAGTCTCCATTTATCAGAACCAATATGTGAGCTGCTAAAGCCTGAGAGAACCGGAGAACGGCTGAAGAAGCCACAGAGCATAATGCATAGAGTGAGATGGAGTGTTATGCACCCTGCTGCGTACTGAGACAGTCATACTGTAATTACACTTATGGCGCGTGTGAGATGGACCTATAATCACCTAATCATATCGATCAAACCCACACAGCGCTCTGACTCTCGCAGACAGAAAGATTTTAAGAAATAATATATATTTTCAGATATGCACACACACACACACACACACACACACACACACACACACACACACACACACACACACACACACACA